TGAAAGACCAGATAGTAAATCTTTTAGGCTTTGTGGGCCACAAGGTCTTGTTAGTATCTATTAAACTTTGCTGTTGCAGAGTAAATGCAGCCCCAGACAATATGTAATGCATGAACTTAGCTGTGTTTTCTTTTTTAAAGATTTTACTTATTTATTCATGAGAGACAGAGGCAGAGGCAGAGGGATGCGGGACTCGATCCCAGGACCCCAGGATCACGACCTGAGCCGAAGGCAGATGCTTAACCGACTGAGCCACCCAGGCACCCAGCCTAGCTGTGTTTTAATAAAACTTTATGAATACTGACACTTTAATTCCATACTATTCTTCTTTTGATTTTTTCTTAACCACTACAACAACTTTTAATTTTAAAAACCATTCTTAGCTCATATTCTATACCAAAACAGTCAGCAAGCCGGATTTGGCCCACAGGCCACCGTTCGCCAAACCCTGGTTTAACCTATTTACATGCTTTTCTTTCCTTGCTATGATTAGCTCCCAAAGTTCAAGATCATTTTGATGGTAAGGTTAGTAGATTTGGGGGCCATATTCTCAAAAACTCAAAAATGCTCTCGATTTTCTTCATTGAGACAACTATGAAATCAGTGATTTTAAGTCAATTCTTTTTTAAAAAAATATTTATTTATTTGCGTGCGAGAGAGAACGAGCATGAGCAGGAGAGGAGCAGAGGAAGAGGGAGAAGCAGACTCCCTGCTGAGCGGGGAGCCCGATGCGGGGCTCGATCCCAGGACCCCAGGACCATGAGCTGAGCCAAACGCAGACGCTTAACCAACTGAGCCACCAGGTGCCCCTGTTGTCAATTCTTAAAGATAAATTCCTAGCTCATCAATAATGTACATTCCCTCACAGCTAAACTTCCATGGCAAACTCCAAATGGAATAATAAAGTAATAAAGTTGAACAGTGCATCTCTGTGTGTGTGTGTGTGTGTGTGTGTGTAAAGAGAGGATGAATAGCTGTAAGGTCCAGAAGCAGAAAGTGAAAATTTTGATGTCATGCATTTAAAGTACAAGTAAATTTCACTGCAGGTGAAATTTATCTATATCAAATTCTGATAGCAAGCAGGTGAAATTCACTTGCCTCAAAGAGAGAAAGGGAGAAAGAAGGAGAGGGGAGAGAAGGGAGGAAGAGAGAGAGAGAGATGCTTGAAATGGCATATAGCCTGAACTAGACATCTTCCCCCCAGAACCGCTAACAACTAGACTTTCACAGCTGCAAACTAGCAACCCCTGGGAAACTAGAGTTAAGTATTCCTAAAACAGGAATCTAGTTCTGTTATGAAACTGTTCATCATTTCACCTCCTGACAGCCACAAAAATCAGCAGAACTCAGAAAGGACTCGGATGATGAGCAAGTAGCATTTTTAATAAAATTCAAATCCAGAGTCTTTGGGGGTTTTTCGTTGCTAGCCTCAAGAGCTCACTATTATCGGCAATATTGATGCAATTATTCAGGTAAAAAGCAAGGAGATGTGAAAAATATGACCTTTTGCATTGCTTCCTTAACTTCCCTTTTCCCCTAGGAAATATTTAATTCTGAATAAGGTAAAGGTAAAAAACAGAAGTTTAGTAGTCTCTAAATAGGTTTTACAGAAGAATCTGAGGAAGCTCTAAATATATAGTTTTATTCTTCCTCAAACGTATGATACTTGTAACAAAATCATTATTACAGATATCAGTCACCGCTATATGCCACAAAATAGCCCATGCAACCCCATGATAATATGAAATAAAGCAGCTTCCAAATCTACCTACCACCATAAGGAATAATCTTCATATTAACAGTTGGGACCCAATCATTATCTCAAAGTGTGCCATTTTGCGTCAAGAAGAGACATGAAGTTAAGCTATTCAATCCCTGAAAGCATCCCTCAGTTTAATAACACCCCTATGAGTTTTGGGTTTCACATCACTTCCCTCAGGCGAAGGGGGCATAATCATATGTTTTTCTACTGAACTGCATTCTCCTATAAACATTTCAAAGAGTACATCTGCTTTACAAATGAAATAGTCGATACAAAGAGCAGTAACAATAAAAATATATGTCTGTTTTTATACTATTACTGGTTTATAAGGCAATCATCTGTAATGCTCTCATCTACAAGGATGAAAAATGATATATAACTGTTACCAAGGAAACAGTGAAGTAAAATTGCATGTAAACTATCAAACAGTTTAATAACCAGAAAATTAGAAGAACAAGATAAAACATCTCCAGATAGAACCACGATACATCGTGCCACTCACGACAGGTGCCATCAAGGGTCACAACTCAAAAAGAGGGAGAGGGTCACAACTCGCCAGCTATTCTGGCGCTCGGTATTATCAGTTTAAAATGATGACCATAAGGTGGTATTGAATTCCTGAGGGGGAATTTGAATTCTGCTTTTTTTTTTTTCACATGATTGAAAGGGCAGAGATCCTGGGAACAAGTGGTTAAAAGTGGGTACTTTGAGAAGTCAAAATACTCTGTCAATTCCAGTGTGGACTCATATTCTCTCAATAATTCTCTGTAATTACCAGTGTCTTTACTCACAGACAGGACATTCAGCAAATAGCAGGTATGCTTTCTACAGCAAATGCTTTCCGAATTGGCATTTTAGAAACTCAAGTTCTTGGGAACCAAAGACAAGGCGAAGGCCCGGGGGTAACTGTGTGTGTTCACCTCTAAACCACGAGAATTTTAAGCACTCAAGTAACCACGCTGATCAAAGCTAAATCCTTTAGGAAGATTATCCACTCAAAAATCAGGAAAATCCTGCAGTGTAAGCACTTTTATACTTCACCTTTGAGAAAAGAACTTGATTTCTGTAACAGTGTTTAAAACACACACAACATGTGTTTCTACGTGCTGACGACCCTCTACACGTACCGCTATTTCAGCTTGGGGACCATCGCCGAGCTCACACTGAGCCACAAGAAGAATGCCTATGGATGAAAGATTTCTTAATGGGCACATAAGCTCAGAACATGTGCAGCTTCTCTCTTTAGAATAAACACTCTATTTGGATCACGTTAAGGACAGAAAGTGAAATTCACACTCATTTACTAAATTTTAACCTCTCTTTAAAATAAGATACTAATCCCCCACAGCCTGGCTTGGGTTTTGCAAAAACTCAGATTTGTGAATATCACGAAGGCATGCTGGAATTTAGTAAAATGAATATAAATCATCTTTTTACTGACATACAGCACTGTCTTCTCCCAAACTCCAAAGTTTAAGGACTAAATCTAGGCTCTCGATGGTTTTTTGTTTGTTTGTTTGTTTGTTTAACATTTATCACTCTTAGCTGTTGAGGCCACCAAAATCTATCTTGGTTACTTTAAACAACACCGGTGAACTTGTCTTTCCCCTCGGCAATCTCTGTCCATCACACAGATGGGACCAGGCAATCATTAAACTGTTGCTCACAGCCGTTTGCCAACCATGGTTTGTGATTCAACAGCTGTTTATAAACCAGCCATAGGCGGAAGCATGCAGGAAGTTAACAGAACAGAGGTGTGAAGCCATGGCCCTCTATGACACTGATGTGAAACCAAGCCATTTGCCACCCTACAATCATCCACCGTTTGACATATCCGTCTTCTGATGTGCAGGGCAACCCCTCTTCGTGGGCTACTCCAAGAAAGACATATTTGCCCATCAGCTGTATACCTCATGTCTACCCAGACTAAGTTACACTGGGGCCCTTTCCCTGGAAAATCTGCTGTGACATTAAGACTGACTCACGTGAGAAGAGAGGGAAGGTAGAGATGGGCAAGAAGAACAAATAAAGACCTGTGGATGCTGGTGAAAGGCACATCTGAAAGGCAACATGCTGACTGAATGTTTCTGAAATGGCCCGAATGTCATGTAGCCAGTCGAAGTCCACACGCATTTCTGATTGTGGCTATCTGAGGCTGCTCAGCCTTGTCTGGTGCAATCAACACAGCCCACCCTGACACTAAGGAATAGAGGAAATTCTAGAATTATTCTCTTGCAATTACAAGGAAGTCTAAACATCCTGGAAAACTCTTACTGTCTACCTCCTAAGGCTGTGGTGGTAACTGCTACGAAGAGCCAAGCTCAAGGGCCAGAAGGCTCATCCTTCCAAAGACGTGGGTGAAGAAGGTGGAGCGTGGTCTTCTAAGACTTCTCATAGCAGGCACTTCCCGGTTAATGCCACACTGGCAGAAGCACAGACCTACTTCCTGGGTTCGATGAAGACTTTGGAAGCATAAGCAGGGCAGAAAACCTAAGGCGAATGCTCTGACCAGGTACTACCTAGGCAGCCACAAAGTGGAAATATGCCTCCTCTATCAGCACTGCCAGAGAAATCTGCCTGAATCGATGATTTTTCTTCTGTTTCAAGAACATGGCCACTTGGAAGCAAAATTCTAAATCTTTCACGGCTTGGGGACTACACAGTTACCCAAAGAAAGGCTAAAGGTCTTTCTCTCTGGGCTCCCTGTCTTCGGCATCTAGGTCACGGCTGGGAACACGGGACAACTTCCCAGGTCAACCGACAAGCTGAGTTTTCAGGGTGTGGAGGTCTAATTTAGGGGGTGGGGGCCAAGGGGCCACTTTTGGTCACTGCTGCTGGGGAAGCAGGGACCCAAACTCTAAGCACTTCTGGCTTTCCCTAGCAGTAGCAATTACAACCACCTTCTCTTGGCCCTGACTTATACATGTAACCCCAAGCACCAGTGGGGCTTTTCCTAAGGGAAAACAAACTGTCACGAATATTGGTGTGTGCCTGAGGGTGTGCGTCTGTGTGTGCTTGTGTGTGTGTGTGTGTGTGGTCTACAGCCAAGGATACACAAGCCCCACCAGGCAGTGGGAGATAAGTTGAACGCAGCAGCCCCTGGCCACCTCGTTTCAGTCCTTTCTTAAGCCCCGCTGCTCTCTCCAGCTTTTGCTTCTCCCCGAGCCTCCCGCAAAATAAAGCACCAAGTTGCCGGCTGCGGCGGCCCTGGGTGCAAATGAACCGGCGCAGCCCCTACCTCGAGAGCTTTGCAATCTTCACAAAGCTGAAGACATCCATGCAGGCAGCCGGGCACCCCGAGCTCGGAGGCTGCGGCGCCCCTTCTCACGCCAGCAACGGCAGCCCCATGGCCGGCCGGGACCTCAGCGCGCCCCGGGGCTCGAGTGGCGGCGACAGCGGGTGGCGGCGGCGGACCTGGAGAGCCCGCACCTGGAGGCGGTGGCTGCTACCCCCCTCCGGCCGTGAGCTGCGTGTGCATCCCCGAGCAGGACCATTGACGGGCGCCCGTGTTGGAAAACTCAATGGAGAGGGGGCCAGGGAGGGTGCGAGGGGCGGGGGTGGGGAGCGTGGCCCGGGCGGTGCGCCCTGGCCTGCGGGACTGCCGGGCGCCCCGGGGAGGCGAGGCCCGGGCGAGGGGCGCTGCTCCTGCTCCCCAGCCCGCCGGCCCGGCTGCCCCGCGTGCGGAGGAGCGCAGACTGAGCCGGGAGGTGGCGGGCGAGCCTGGCACACGCGCACGCACCCCTCGCGGCACTGCAGCTGCCTCCCTGCCTCCTTCCCCAAGCCGAGTCCCTTCTCCTCTCCCCACCCCCACCCGCGGGGAAGGGGGGGAGCTCTCCTGTCACCAGCTGCGTGTGCCTCCAGATCTGAAAGATCGATCTAACAGTCTCGGGCACACCGGGGACGGTGAACGCTACCCCCTCCCTCCCCAAACCAAAGGAGAGCCGTGCAACCGCAGGTTGCCCAAAGCCTTGGTATGTTCCATAAACAAAACTAGCGATTGGGAAGGAGCAGGGATGATCCCGGCTGGGTGGTTTGTCAAGGGGAAGGGGAGGAAGATGCCCAGCACGGCGGGCTCGGTTTGGAGAGCACAGAGGTCCCACCGCTTCCCCCAACCACTGGAGCTAGACGCGACAGCTGGGCTGGCTGGGAAGGTGTGTCTTTGGACAGCAGCACCCGGGGAGCGTTGGAGAAAGAAGAAAATAAGAACGGGAGGCATTTGGAGGGGCGAGGGCACACACGGCTGCTTCTCACTACAGGGGTCCGGAGATGAGGGTCCCAGAAGCCAGTAGCGGGGGGGGGGGGAGGGGGGAGACGGTTATGAATGGGCTGCAGAATCTAAAGGAAGAGAAGGGACGAGAACGGGGGTCGGAAGGCAGAGCTGAGATGCTTTCTCAAATTGAGCTGCCGGTACAAAAGGAAAAAAACCAAAAAACAAAACAAAACAAAACAAAACAAAAAAACACCTTACTCATAAAAACAAAACCACGGAAACATAAACACTCACCTTAGGCAGAGTAAACTCCAAGTTGCAGCCATGTAGAACTCCTAGCCTTCTCTTTTACATAATTATCTTGGATAATCAGCCCTCTTCATTAACTCAGTTCTCTCTGCCCGGAGCCTCAGGCTTCTCCGGGCCTCTTTCTCTTGTTCTTTCCCTTGGAATCTCAAGGCCTCTTCTCCCAAATCCTTTAAAAATCTCTCCCCAGACTCTCTGAAGGTCAGATGGCTGCACAAAGTGTGTGTTCTCCCACCCAGAAGCGTTCACCTGATGGCAGGGCCACTGCAAGGAAAAAGATGCCACCCCCGAAATGTTGGAGGATCTGGCCAGTGTGCTTCTAGCTCTCGGAGGGGATTAGGGAAAACGAAATAGGTTTAAAGTTCCCAGACTTCTGCTCCTCTCTGGGTCTGTTGCTGTATTTCAAGTCTTCGGTATCGGAGGGAGCCTAGTACTTGCACTTTGTTTTTTTAAAGGCGTTTCTTTCAAAACGGAAACATAAAATCGCTAGCAATCGGAAAAAAATCTAAATGATGTGAAACTCGGGCATAAAATTACATGGTTTAAGAAATAAATAGAATCAATTTTCCTTTAGCTTCTTGCAGACAGACTAGTTTCATCTCGTGAATGGGGTTACCACGTATCATCGGAGGAGGCAAGAGGGACCTGGGCTTTTGGACCCCCTACTGTCTGTGTAAAATAACTCTCTAGCTTGGGTCTGCACTGTCCTGTACCTTTTTTAAAGCATTTTTGCATTTGAGTCTCATAGCAACCCTGTCCTATAAGTAAGGCAACGCGTTTAAAAAACAAATCTTTTCTTTTTATGCCACCATCTCCACTCCGAGTACTCGACGGAGAGATGCGTTTTACATGTGGGTCAGATAAGGTTACTTGTCCAATCGAAACTCCGCAAAAGCGCTCCATTCCCCTTTGAGCGGTAGTTGGCGCTCCTACGTGACGGAGAAGGCCCTAGGTGCCTAGCCCTTGAGCTCTCTGACCTATCTCTTCCTCCCCACCTCACTCTCTCCCACTTCCACTCCCCCTCAACACTAACTGAGCCCCAGCAATACTGGCCTCCTTGCTGCTCTTCAAACTCTGCAGGTATTCTCCCACCTTGGGCTCTTTGCAGTAGTTGTTGCCTCAGCCTGGAATGTTCTTCCCTCAGAGGCTTGGCATGCACGGCTCCTTCACCACATCGAGCGTTTGCACAAATACCACTTCCAAAGGGCCACCTCTGAAAAGCCTATTTAAAATTGCGAGGCCCCCCCTGTCCTGGATTCCAGGGCCCATTAACTGGTTTTTGTGGGGTTTTTTCTTGTTTCCATAGCACTTATCACCCACTAATGCTTTATATAATTTATTTTTATGTCTACTCTCTCTTACTTCCTGTCTGATGCTCTTGCTGGAATAAAAGCTCCACAAGGGCAGGGGTTGTGGGTTTTGTTTGTTTGCTTGTTTTCATGGATGGGTCCCACATGCCTAGAAAAGTTCCTTTGAAGTAGAAAGACCTTACTAAATATCTGTTGAATGAACGCATGTTATGCTCATGAGATTCACAGTCAAACCAACGCTGGCCAAGCATCCCCAGTGGATACTGCTCCATCTCTGGCCTCCTCCCTGATATTTGTCCATCTCCCCACCACTCCTCCATCCCCAAAGTCTTTCTTCCTCCTTTAGATTGCTCGTGAGGACAGTGAAGCCCTCACATTCGCCAGCTATTTTGCCCCTTCACACTTTCTACCTTTCCCGGGGGGAGGGGGGGGGCACCAACACCGTCCCTCGTCACTGTGTCCACATCTGGCAGCACAAGACCAGCTCTTGATGGGGAAAGGGAGATAAAGCAATGCCTTTGGAAAACATGTGTTCAAAAAGTGCTTCCTTCTGAGAACAGTTCGAATACCCTTCTTAAAAAGATAACGTTATTGGGGCGCCTGGGTGGCTCAGTCAAGTTAAGTGTCTGCCTTTGGTTCGGGTCATGATCTCGGGGTCCTGGGATCAAGCGCCACATGGGGCTCCCTGCTCCGCGGCGAGTCTGCTTCTCCCTCTCCCACGCCCCCTGCGGGTATTCCCTCTCTCACTGTCTCGTCCGCCCTGCTCATGCTGTCTCTCAAATAAATAAAAATCTAAAAAAAAAAAAAGATAACACTATCAATCAAGAATTATTCCAGTTATCAAATAGCTAGTTATTCAACAGTGAAAATGACAGGAAACAGGCATTGTGTTTACTTGTAGAGAGAGAGACAGCCTCCCTTTAAGACATCTGGTCTACCTGGAACAGCTTGCTGTTTGGGCTTCAATCTGTGCCAATCTGCGCACTACAGTTATGAATGGTGCGGATGCCGACTCTCCACAGCCTAATAGCTACCAGGAGAAATAACTGGTTCCTCCAGGTCTTTATACTCCTCTGATATATTAATTACCTCTTATGTTTTCCAATGGACCGATGTCTCTTTTTTAAGGCAAAGAGATCCTCCTTCTCCTCTGTTTTTCATTAACATACAAATGGAAGACGGCTCCCTTGAAACAAGCTAACACAGCCTCTAAACCCTTATACCTTTAAGCTCTCTTGGCAGAGAAGCAAAGATTTGAGTAGCTGGTCTCCCAGCTCTGTTCCTCTCTGTGCCAGGTGTGCGTGGCCAAGGTTGGGATATGTTTCTTTATCTAGCATGAAATGGATCCGCCTAAAACAAACAAAAAACAGAGCGGCATTTGAGTACATATGTGATCTTCTAAAGTTTTATTTTCAGCCTGGATAATCTCTAGGGCCCCTTCCAGAACTTGTAGAGATTTACTCATTGGAAACTGTATTATCTAGCCTTGAGAATCTGTTTAATTTGCTTCACTTGGATCCAAGTGACATTTGGTCATTTCTGAAAACCAAACATAGTTTCAAACACTGTTGGATGTATTCATGAACAAGAGACTTAAGGGCAACACATCCAGAGCAAGTTATTTAATTTTTCTGAGACTCAGTTTCCCCACTTATAAAACAGAAATGGTAATCCACTCCTACCTTACATAAAATGAGCCCTTGAAGTTGAACAACAATTTAGAGCTGTACACAAGTGAATTGAGTCACATGGATACTAACTCCAGAAGGATTTCCACAGCTGTCTTGAGCCTTGGCATACACATCCTCCTCGACTTATGATGTATAGGGTATACGTAACCTACCAAACATCCTAACTTAGCCTCCCTTAAACATGCTCTGAATATTTACATTAGCCTACGGCTGGACAAAATCATCTCACACAAGGCCTATTTTATAATAAAGTGTGGAGTATCTCATGTAATTTATTAAATACTGTACTGAAAGTGACCAAGAGCCTGGATGTCTGGGGACAGAATGGCTGTCAGTGTATTGCTTATTGACCCTCGTGATTGCGTGGCTGACTGGGAGCTGTGGCTTGCTGCCCCTGCCCAGCATCACGAGAGAGGACTGTACCACATAGCGCTAGCCCAGGAAAAGATCCAAATTCAAAATTCAAAATTCAAAGTACAGTTTGTACTAAATGCGTATCACTTCTGCACCATTGTAAAGTTGAAAAATCTCAAGTCAAGCCACCGTAAGTCAGGGACCATCTGTACCGTTAGGAAAAGTTTCAGCTGCTAAGAACACTCCTTTGAATGTGAAAACATTTGCTTTGCTTGATCAGAGGTCGGGTGTTCTACCTAAAAATCAACCTCATTGTTGCCTTAAGCAGGAGTACCCTTCATGCTCTGTGGGCTCAGGGGCAAGAGGGAGGAATTTCTTCCTCACTGGTAAGGCCTTATCTCAAACTGGTGTCAGGAATTTGCTACTGGGCCAGATGTTCTGTACAGGATGGCAGCTTGGAGTTCTTTTGCTGCAAATTGCAGTAGATAGAGCCCCAGGCATTTCCCAGATGGACTATAGCATCTTGACCATCTGACTGCAGTCTTGAAAAGAGAAGTGACTAAACAAAAGGAAGGTATCTATCAATTCAACGGAGTATTTAAGAAATTTCTCCTACGAGGGGAACCTGGGTGGCTCAGTCGGTTAAGCATCAGACTCTTGATCTCAGCTCAGGTCTTGATCTCAGGGTCGTGAGTTCAACCCCATGTTGGGCTCCACATAAGTAGAAATTTCTCCTATGAGCGAGGCACTGCTATAAGCACTGGAGAATACATCAGGCAACAAGACAAGTTTCTGCTCTCATAGACTTCACATTTTAAGAGGAAAGATAGATGATAAACAGCAAAATAAGGGAATACCATAAATAAGAAAAATAGCAGGTG